TCTGTCAGTATCCTTTTAACTCACATGCTTGGGTTTGTACTTGACCAACTTTTTTTTTTCTATTTTTTGCTTATAGTAATTTGGGGACCCAATGGCCTCCTTTTCATCTTTTATCTAACTCTGGCCTTTTGACACAAGAAACGATGTAATCACTCCTTTAGAAAGCACAGGCTTCTGTGTATTAAAATCCATTAGACCAAAGCTACCCCCACAGAGCCGACACAGGCTCTTTGATTTTTAGCCTCCATTCAAAGTGTGTCATGTAATTCTCAAATATTTGAGACTTTATGAATAAACTTTTGTTGTTGGTTTCTAATTTAATTTCATTGTGGTTAGAGAACATATTTTATAGTGTTTCAGCCTTGAGACTTGTTTTATAGGTCAGTGTGTACTGTGTCTTGATGAGTGTTCCTGTATTAGTCTGGTATTTTCTTTTTTTCTTTTTTTTTTTTTTTGTTTCTTACAACAGAATATGTGAAACTGGATAATGCATTAAGAGAAGAGGTTATTTTTTACAATTTTGGAGGCTAAGATCCAGTTCAGGATCTTCTTCATGGTGGGGACTCTGTAGGGAGTCCTGTGGCAATGCAGATTAACACATGGTGAGAAGGGCAAGAGCACTTGCATGTGCCCAGTGTACAAAGCCACCAGTCTATGTCCATGATACCCAATTAACATATTAATCCATTACTTTGTGAGTGGATTAATCCATTCCCCAGGGCATTGTCATCACAATCCAGTCACCTCTTAAAGGTCCCACCTTTCAAATATTATAATTGGATTTCCTACCTTCTTAACACTGTTACAATAGGGATCAAGTTTCCAACACATTAACATTGGTGGACACATTTACCCATAGCAGCTTCAGATTGTACTCTACAAATATCAATTAGGTTGGATGGGAAAAACATACTCAGTTTCCCCTCCTATATTCACAACACACTGCTGACAGCTGACACCAGATACATGAGGATTTCTCTCCACACACTAAGCCTAGAAGCAATTTTGCAGCAGACATCAAGCTGGGTGCATCTTTAATTTAAATTTATTTTGGCACTATCTACTTGGCGGTAGCATCATATCTCATAAGTTAAGAGCTCCATCCCCAAGACTGTCCCCACTTCAGATGCCAGTTGCAGGTCCATGTTCCTGGATCTTCTGACTGGCTCCCACAATGCCCTTCTTTCTCTTTAGTCTATATTAATTTACTAAAGGGGCTCCAAGAACTCAGTGAAACATTTACTTACACTTACTCATTCATTCCAAAGGACATTTTGAAAAATACAAATAGGTGAAGAGATACAAAGGGTGAGGTCTGGAAGGGTCCTGGCACAGGAGGTTCCATTCCCTTGGATATGAGGTACACCACCCTCCTGGCACACGGATGAGTTCAACTGTCCTGAAGCTCCCTCAACCCTGTGTTCTTGGGTTTTTATGGAGGTCTCATTAGGCACAATTGATTGCAGCATAGGCCACTGTTGATCAACTTAACCTTCAGTTCCTCTCCCCTCCCTGGAAGTTGGGGGTGTGGGCTGCGAGTCCCAACCCTCTAATTACAAAGTTGGCTCCTCTGACAATCAGCTCCCATCCTGAATTTACCCAGGTGCAGCCAGCCACCAGCCAACTGATTAGCATGCAAAGTGACACTCATCACTTTGAAGAGTCTAAGGATTTTAGGAGTTGTATGCTAGGAGGCAGAGACAGAGATCAAACATACATATCCATAATATAATACAGTTAAAATTTTGTCAATTATATCTGTATTCTTCCTGATAATTTTATCTGGTTATTTCATTAGTTATTGAGAGAAAAGAATTCTGCAACTATGAATGTGGATTTGTCAATTTCTCACTTTAGCTCAGTTTTTTTTTTTCCAGGTACACTCATGTGCCACATAACATTTTAGTCAACAGACCCCATTTATATCTGTGCAGTAATCTACACTATATAGTCCAGGTGTGTAGTAGGCTGTACCATGTAGGTTCTGTAAGTGCATTCTATGATGTTCATGCAGTGACAAAGTTGCCTAATGACACATTTTTCAGAACTTACCCAGTCTTTAAGCACCACATGAGTGTACTTTGTGGCTCTGTGTTTAGGCACAGACATAGTTATAATTGTTACATCTTTCTCACATATAATCCTTCTGTTATTATGAAAGGGCTCTCTTTTTGCCCTGTTGATATATTTTGTCTTGAAGTTTCTTTTTGCTATCTCGACAGGCTTTTTACACATACTGTTAGTGGAATACATCTTTTTCCATTTTTAAAAATTTTACTCTGTTTGTGTCTTTGTATTTAAATCATGTCTCTTTGGGTAGCATATAGATGGGTCTTACTTTCCTATCAAGCCTGACTGTCTCTGCCTAAAGTAGAATATTTAGTCCAATTCAACTGAAACTAATTATTAATAAGGTTAGAATTAGGT